TTTTTTTTTTTTTTTCATTCTAGCAGAGAACATCGGTTTTCTTGGCCTGACTTTTTTCCTATGAGTTTTGAGCTGGGGGAGGTTCTAAACTTTGCTTTTAATGTAACACCATTGGCATCCCTGGTTGGCTCAGTAGAGTGATAGACTGGGAAGAGTTAGGTCTCACTGAGATCTAGTCTATGTGGAGGAGGCAGATTGGCCTGGGTCTGCCCATTCCCTAAGGCCACATTCACTTGAGAGCAGGGCAGAGCAGAGTACAAGACAGAGGCTGTGCCAATGTCTTCTCCCAGACATCAGTTCTCAGCAAGACACTTAACCTCCCAGGCCTTGGTTTTTCCATCTTCAAAATGAGGTAGTTAGATATGAGCTCTTCCTACAGCCTGTGAAGACCTTGGAGGTGCCTCAAGGAGCTGCCTATGAGGGCACAGGGGAGTCACAGGCCAATCCTTGGCCTCTCCCCGGGCCCCAGCCTTCCATTTGTCTATAAGTTCTGCATAAACTGTTTGAATAATGGATTCCATTGCTCAAAGATAAGCCAGGCCTGGGGATGCAGACCTTTCATTTCAGCTACTTGAGAGGCTGAAATGAAGGGATCACAGTTCAAGGCTTGCTTGGCCTACAGAGTAAATTCCAGGCCTGCCTGTAATAGAGATGCAGCTCATTGGTAGAACAAACACTTTGGGATCAGGAAGCCCTAGGTACAACGACATGGAACGTGGTGACCAAAGGAGATAGTATGATCTGGACTCAGGCGGCATCCAGACACAGTCTGCTTCTCCGAGCCTCACTGATCAAATCACTGGTGTGCAGAGAGTTTGGAAGAGTACCTACCTGTTCTGAGACTTTCTTCCAAAGGCATGTGTTCATTTCTTTGTCCTTAAGCTGACGTGGACCAGCGGCCCATCAACTACTGTGAAACTGGTCTCCACAACTGTGATATCCCCCAGCGGGCCCAGTGCATCTATATGGGTGGCTCCTCCTACACCTGCTCCTGTCTGCCTGGCTTCTCTGGGGATGGCAGAGCCTGCCAAGGTATGTGGTGGCTCTGAAGAGCAGCCTGGGTGGTGCTTACTGTGTGCTAATCATCAACACTCTCTGTCTGTAAGGAGGATGTGTTCATTTTGCTCCACTGGGCAAGAGTCTTTTCTATCGTGTCAGCAACTGGAACTGCATTTTCTTGGAGAGTTGTTCTCATTTGGGACCTCCATAGCTTCCCCTGACCCCAAGACTTGCTTCATGAAGCAGCAGTTAGATAGTGCTTTTGCCTGGGAACTAAGGTTTGCTTGTTTTTTGAAACTCCAAACAGTCCTTGCTTGCACAGAGCATAACGTCCATCTTTGTGTGTAATGGGCTTGCTCTTTCTGGTACAAGAAGTGAAGTTCCTATTCTGAAGTCAGAGAAGAAGTGACATCACAGAATCTTTCCAGGCTTGGAATCAGCCCATAGTATGCTGTCAGGGGACTCATAGAGGAATTAACAGAGTAACTCAGGTTTATTTGGTTTGTAAAGTTATGCAACATTATACTGAATTTAAGTTCAAAAAAGATTTCAGAGATGCCATCTCTCTGTTATTGGCTATGTAATTTTCTCTTCTCTAAATACTTAGGAGTTATAGAGGCTCTTGCTTACAATAAAGGGGGAACATCTGACAGTTTAAATTTTTTCCTTTTGCAAGCTCTGTGTTTCCTGAAAACATTATTATTCTCAAATGAAACACAATTGCAAATGTACTAGATAGAAGATGGGGTGTGAATGTTTTAAAAATTAATATTTAGTGGGTTTAAAGTCCCTAGACTCTAATTAAAAGCAGATTCATATAGATTTGAGTGCGTGGATTAAATTATTGTATCAACCACAAATTCTTGAAGCAATCTCGTGGTCTCTGGGCCTGTGGCTGTTTTGCAGATGTGGATGAATGCCAGCTCAGCCGATGTCACCCTGATGCCTTCTGCTACAACACACCAGGATCCTTCACATGCCAATGCAAACCTGGATATCAGGGGGATGGCTTCCAATGTGTTCCTGGAGGTGAGATGGGGTGTCATGAGTTGATGGTCCATTGATTTGTTCATAAGACTTGATGGCCTGGGGATAAGAGGATGTGAGGAAGTGGTCCATGGAAAATTCTCAGAGTTCTGCAAGTAGAAAGTCAGACCACAGGCTATAGTGCTGAAACACACAGTGTACAACTTCAGAGGATACCTTGTAGGGACTGAAAGCATGCTGGAATTTCAGAATGCATTGGTTCCTAGGTACCGGAGCCAGAAGCACAGGATAAAAACTGAGCATTAGTCTTTATTCACCAAGGTACTCTAGAGAAACAGAACCAAGAGAATATATGTGTATAAGTATGTATATGCACACACACTAATATAAGAAATTGAATCATGTCATTACAAAGACTCAAACCCCAGCATCTGTTTTAAGTAAGCAGGGAACCCAAAAGGCCAATAGCTGGTTTAGTTAAAGTGTAGAGGCCATAGAACCAGGAAAGCCTATGGCAGAGTTCTAGTCTGGAGACTAGTAGCCTTGTGACCCAGAAAAGGATTGTTTGGTTTGATTGAAAACATAGGGGACAAATGATTTCTGATTTGGAGGCTACCAGGCAGAAACAAGATCTGTCTGTCTGTCTGTCTGTCTGGATAGTTTTGTCTGGATAGGCTCTCACTAGATAACCCTGGATAGCCTGGAATTCACTGTGTAAACCAGGCTGGCCTCGAATTCACAGAGATCCTCATACCTCTGCCTCGAGTGTGTTGGGCGTGCACCACCATGTCTGGACCAGTTTTGTCCATGTCCTTTATAGGCCTTTATGTGACTGATGAAGCCAGGGAGAAAATCTGCTCCGTATGTCATCCTAAACAACCTGGATGATGTGACCCAATATCTGGGCATTCTGTGGCTCAGTCACATTTAACATAAAATCAGTAGGAGCCCAAGAGTGTTGGGGAATGTGATGGGAAGATGGAACGAAGGGACTAAGTGGGGGAAGCTATAACTAAGGCCTTCATGGAATGTTCTATGTCACCTGTTTCCTGATCTTAATGTGCAGCTTTTGGCATGACTGCTTACTTGAGACTTGAGTGGACCCTCAAGTAGGTACCCAGAAGCCCCAAGCCTGGTAAGGCTCTCAGCAGGTGCTATTACAGATGAGCATAGTTGGCTGTTGGCTGTATGGAACCTACTAGGCTTGCACAGTGCTTGTGTTTGCTAGTTTTCAGTTGTGGGAACAAAATACCTAAGACAGTCAACTTGAAGAATGGGAGTTTTGTTTTGGTTCATGATGTCAGACCATTATCAGTTGGTGTTGCTACTTTGGACTGGGGTGAAGCAGGACCTCAAAGTGGGAAGCAAAGTCAAGTACCTCACTGTGGTAGGGAGTATGAAACAAAGCCAAGTGCCTGACTATGGTGGACAGTATGGAGAAAAGCCAAGGAACTCACTAACAACTAAGAAGCACAAAGAGGAGTTGGGTGCCATGAGAGGGCTCAGCAGGTAAAGGTGTTTGCTGCCTCAAGTTTTACCACCTGAGTTTGATCCCCAGAAGACATATGGTGGGTGGAGAGAACTGACTCATAAGTTGTGCTTTGGCCTCCACATGTGCTCTCTCACATGGGCACATATGTATGTGCATGTGTGCTTCTGAGCACACACATACACGCACAGTAAGTGTCTTTAAAAATTGAAAAAATAAGCCACATAGTAGCAGTGCACGCCTTTAATCCCAGTACTCAGGAGGCAGAGGCAGGCGGATCTCTGTGAGTTTTGAGACCTACCTGATCTACAAAGTGAGTTCCAGGACAGCCAGGGCTACACAGAGAAACCCTGTCTCAACCCCTCCCCCCCAACACACTTTTTAAAAAAATAATTGCTGCCAAAGTAGAAGAGGGCCATCTTCTGTTTCTGAAATTATGGGTGGTGGCTATAGCCCTGCCCACAGATTTTGATGGACAGGGTTCATAGAGGAGCATCCCTGGCTGCTTGAGTTGAGTTAGGCATTTGAACTGCTGTTAAAACAACCAGCATTTGTTATTGCTGTGGGCTGGTTTCACATCTCCACTTCAAAGAGAAACAGATGTCTGAGTTTTTGTTTCAACTTTTTAAAAGTCTGACTCCTTGCCCTGTCTTTAAGGCTGTGCTTGCTAAACAGGAACAGGTAGACCAGTAGTCTAAGATGTGAAGATGGGACAATGATAACATTACTAAGATTTACTAAGATTGTTTATGTATTGTTCTCAGAAGAAATCCAACATGTGGTTATATGCCCTAGAGGACCTGTATTAGAAATGTACAAGAATGTTTATATCATTTATAATCAGAAAACAATCTGAGTATCTAGCAATGAGAAGAATAGATAGATGACTTTTAGTTCAAATTGTACTATGAAATAACAGGCAGCAGGCAAAACAAATGGACTGTTGCAATGAGTAAATCTTAAAGTATAATACTGAAAAAAATGTAAAAGGTTTTTTATACACACACATATACATATGCACATATATAGTATGTGTGAAAGACAGATCCTGTTTATGTAAAATATGAATCAGTGTGAAAATAAATGTGTATATGTATATAAGAAAACTGGAATGTGTATATGGAAATGAGGGACAGTAAACTCAGAACAGAAGTTGCCTCTCTAATGAGACAGGAGATTAGGGTATAGGGGTGTGTTACATGGAACGTTGTATTCTTAGAATGCTGTAACAGAATGTCACAGACTACATGGCTTATAAACAACAGAAGTTTATTTATCATAGTTCTGAAGGTTGGGAAGTCCAAGATCCATGTGCTGGGAAATTCACTCTGATGAGGACCTGTTTGCATATTCTTGGGATGCCAGGTATAGCAGTTGCTTTTCTTGTTCTGTAACAAAACTTAAGGAAGGCAGAAGGTTTGTTTTGGCTCCCAGCTTACTGTTTGTCTTTGAGTCTGTGGTGATGCACAGCTTCATGTATCCATGGTAGAGGAAAATAAGTCACCCCATAATGCCAAAGAAACAAGAAGAGTGAGGGACTAGAGTTCCCACATCCCTTTCAATGACCTGCTGTCTCCAGTCCTACCTCCTAAAGTTTCCACCCCCTATAATGGTTGTTTTTCCTCCTCCTCCTCCTTCCCCCTCTTCTCTGTGGGGATTGAGGCTGGAATCTCACATGTGCTAGGCAAGTGCTCTACCAGCCCTCTTTACAACAAAACAACAAATAAACAAAAATGTATTTATTCATTTTGTGTGTGTTTGTCCACGTACACCATATTACTGGTGTGGAGATAAAAAGACTACTTGTGGGAATCCGTTCTCTTCTTCCACCATGTGGATTCTAGGAGTCAAATCAGGTCATTAGACTTGGTGGCAAGGACCTTTCCTTGCTGAACCATCTCATTGTCTCCAGACTGATTTTGTGTTTTGTTCAGTTTTTGAGACAGAGTCTGGCCAGCATACCTAGGCTGGCATTGAACTCATTCTGTAGTCCAGGCAGGCCTTGAATTAGCCATCCCCCTGCCTCAACCTCTCAAGTAGCTATGGTCACAGGCCTGACTCAGTTTTCATTTCTGAAATGATAATTTCTTCTCTGAATTGCCTCATTTTGGACTTTGCCCAATTAGTGTTCATTTTTGCTCTCTTGCCTCCTTTACTTCTTATTGTGTGTTTGCCTCTAGCTTGATCTCTCCTGAATGTCCTGCTGGTATGTGTCCATTATCTATCGTGTCCCTTTGCTTTTCCTCAGCTTCTGGAAGGGTGGCTTGGTTGACAGAACCCTTTTCAGTTCTCTTGGTGAAGTGTTTGAAAGTATTTCACCTTGCTTTTGACATTTCCTGGCTCTGTCCCCTCCTCTTACACCTGGGCTTTCTCTGTCCTCATTCTGTATAATTCTGTCCCCAGCCATTTCTCCACACCGCCGGTTCCAGTCAAACTGGTCACTTCTGAGAATTCCTAAGAACTAGAGCTTCCAGTTTATTGGCTTGCACATCAAGTAAAGGATACCCCCACCACACCACTTCCGGATCCTGGTTTAAATCTGCCTGATGTGCCTGCTAGGATGTACCTGTTCAGTCCTTGGGGTTCATCTGTTCCCAGAAAGCGTGTTGCTTCCCTTTGCTGTTTCCCACGCAGACTTGGATACCAGCTTGGCTTGTGGTCATCGGTGCTGTGACCTCACCTGCTTGTGCTCAAGGTTCATACTAGTTTGCTTTCCTGTTGCTATGATAAAACAATTCCGACCAATAGCAACTTGGGGAGGAAAGGGTTTATTTTAGCTACAGGTTACAGTGTATCCTTGAGGGAAGGCCAGGGCAAAAGCTCAAAGCAGGAACTAAAGTACAGACCATAGAGGAGCATTCTTTATTGACTTGCTTAGCAAGCTGTCTTATACAGCCTAGACCCACATGCTTAGAGATGGTACTCGTACTCCCAAATTGGACTGGATACTCCTACATCAATTAACAATCAAGAAAATGTCCCCACAGACACGCCCACAGGCCAATCTGGTAGCGACAGTTCAATTGAGGTTCCCGCTTTCCAAGTGTGTCAGGTTGACAAGCAATATTAGCCATCATGTTTTACCCATGGGCTGTAGATTTTATCCTGTAGTTACCCTCTGTAATGAAGATTCTAGAGCGAGGCTGCTGCCTCTTTCTTGGAATCTCCCATGTACTCTTACACAACTGTAGGTGCCTTTACCTCCAGCACCTGTTCAAACTGCTCTTGAAATCATTCTGGAATGGTCCATAATACACTCACTTAGACATACCCTAGTTCTGCCTTTATCAGCAGCACTGGACACAGTTAATCTCAGTTTCTTTCTGACCTTCTCTGTCTTTTGAATCCAGGACAGCACAGCTTTGGGGTTCCGAATCACCCCAGGGCTGTATCCCTGTAGGTACAATTAGCCCCAGAGATGGTTAAGGCTACAAGGGTTTAGAGGGATGCTAATTTGTCACATGCACCTAGTACATAGTTAACTATTTCTTAGCAACTTGTTTGTGGCTTCCATTGAACTTGGTTCTTCGAATTCTAAATGAAATGCATTCTT